GTCTTCCCTGCTTTGTTGCCTTTTGTTCTTCTCTGTACAGGCATGAGACAGAGGGAGCTGCCTGCAAGTGGGGCAGAAAGAAAAACCCCAAGTCCTCTTGGCCTATTTATTTCTGCCTTGTCCTTCTCCCAGGGGCTGTGTCAGACCTGTGCTGGCCTTCTGGAGCCTCCAGTTGAAGGTTTTCCCTGCCCTTCCCTGATCATCTGTGAAGGCTAAGGAATATGTGAAAGGATCATGTCAAAGCCATGCTTTCGGGGCGTGTCTTTACCTGTCTATAACACAGGAGCAGGCACAGTTCGCTCTCCCAGGGCACCCTGTTATTTCAAAGGTAATCTCAGATGCACTCACCTAAATGGACAGAGGATGCTTCTGCAGTCAAAGATAACACTTCCTTTTCCCAGGAAAACCGGGCAGTTGGGAAAGAAAGGTAAAACGGATCAGACTGCAGGGTCGCTCTGCATAGAGAAAGGGTGCAAAACTCATTTTTTCAAATAAAACAGAAGTGGAAGGTGCAGGAACCTTTCTTCTCTTTCAGTTCCTCAAAATATACTTTGCCAGTGTATTTTAGAAGAGACATGAAGAAACCAGGAAGGAGTAGGGGACACAACAGGACTGTCTTCTGAGAGTAAAAGTAAAGATTTGCTTGGTTTTTATCCAAAATCTGTAGGATGGGAAATCCAGTGTGGGTTTAGTACTTTTGAAAGTTTCACGTCCATCTCAGGATCATTATACACACCCCGCTTTCCTCCAGATGAGCCTCAGAGAAAATCCAAGAGGCAGATGAGTGAACGCACTGGTTGGTGGCCGTCCCTGCCTGAAGGTCTTTGCCCACACATCTCATTTTCCATGGACCATTAGGTGGGAGCCCTTTGGGTGCCAGATCTCTGCCTTTTGGCTGGAGCCATGCATCCCCAAACGGGCTTGTTCTGCCCTGGGCCCCTCTCAGTGAGAAGGTGCTCTGAGCTGGAGCCTTTTTTAAGAGTGATCTTGCCCTCTGCCTCTCCTTTCAGCCTCTGATCTGCCCTGGGAGTGGTGCCCACACTCCATCACAGCACTGCCTCAGCCTTAGGCCAAGGAAAGTCACCTCCTGGAAAAGCCGGTTTTGATGCTGGTGAATGTCCCAGGGAGCAGCTTTTAAATCAATGTGGAAAGAACCGCCATGGAAATACCCTTTCTTTTATTTTGAAATCTGTGGTGTTTATTCTGAGGAGACCTTGTGGCTCAGAAGGAAATATGGACAGGAAAACAGTCCTTGATGGTCTTTGATGCAGTTATGATCAGTTAGGGAGGGAGCTGAGGAGCCGAGTGGGAGTGAGCGGCATAAAAAGACTGCAGGAAACCCTTTGCATCCTTCGAGCAGGCATGGCGGCTGGCTGTCCAGCTCAGTGTGGGTCCCCAAGCAGGCAGAGGAAGGAAATATCTGTGCTGTAATGTTTGTTTAGAACACGAGATATCTCTGAAGCAGAGATGTCCAGTGTGGTAGCTGGAATCTCATCCATCTCCATTTTTAAGGCTCCTGGTGTCATGCAAGGAGATCCTTGCAGAATCTTTTTAGTGAAGATGAGTAATAAAAGCAACTGAGAACTGTACTGATGGATTCTTGTCCATTATCCTCCCAGTGTGCTGCTGTTTGAAGCAAAAACTTGATCCAGCATTTCAGGAACCTTTTCCTCTGCCAACTATGATTCAGTATTGAAATGCTAAATTCCAAAGGTTAAACTTTTCATATACTTCCTGGTCTGAGGAACCTAATCAAAACATTATTTTGCGAGCCTCCTGTAAGGCTTATCTATTTCACATGCAGTTGGCAATACAAGCTATATCCTGTGCCCCTTGTTAAGGTGTCACTCAGAGCTGCAGAGCTTGTAGACAAGAGACAAGGTGCTAGATCCTCAACCAGGGTGTGAGCGTCACAATAGTCTCTGTTCTTAGCAGGAAAAAGTAACAGAAATGTGTGTATTTATTTATATTACCTGACATATGCATTCTTCACTGCAGTCCTTATTTTGCATCCTGATAGGGAATTAGCATTTAGAGCTGGTTCATTACCATCAACCCGTCCCTGGATGGGACTGGGCTCTATCCAGCTGGGACGAGTCTTTGCTTCACCTGCCAGCACTGGGGACTTCAGCCCTCAGACCTGTCCTTTGCAGGTGGCAGGAGACATCCAGATCCATCTTGTATCACAAGTTCCCAGGACATTTTCTTGCATGCAAATTGAATCTCTGTGAATTCATTACTTTTTTGGCCCACTGTGAGCTGATAGCCTGTAGGCCGCTGACTACTTCAGCACTATGTAGGTTGTTATTATAGGCCCGTAAAACATGGCTGGCAAAAGCAGGGGTATAAATCCATCGGCATATGTGAAATTTTTTAAGATAGCTGTACTTGGACTTAAAATTTTTCAGGAATTTGCAAATTTAGAAAGGTCCAAAACCAGTACTGGGAGTCCTGTGGGTTCACTTGTTTGGAAAGCTACAGCCATTCCCAGCTCTTCGGTGTTAAGGAGAGCCCCTATGGGAACCTCAATCTTGTGCTTAATAGAGCCTCTTGATATGTTTTGGAGGTACCCTGAGGATTTTTGGCTTTAAAAATTGCTATGCTAGCTGCAATTATTATGACAAAGAGTTGTTTTAGAGGTTAAGAGCTTATCCAGGGCTGGCAAGGCTGCATCTCTCATGAGGGCAAAGTTATGTTAAGAGTTAACACGGCTTTTATTCCAAATGTAAACGTGGTTACAGGAAATTATTATTTTTTCCATCTTTTTTGCCCATATGTAAAACACTTCAAAAAAAAAAAAAACAACAAAACCCACACAACACCAAAAAAAACCCAACATGAGCAAACCACATATCTGGCATCCTCATGATGTCAGGAGATCTCCAAAAATCAACAGAGAATGCAGAACCCAATTCAGAAAATGTCTCATTCTGGTGTATAGCACCCTTAATAACTACAAGAAAAAAGAAACCACTCATTGCCCGCACTACTTCTCTCAGACAGCTAAATCAGTGCATTTCAGAAGATTTTGAAGAATGAAATTGTCTTTGTCCTCAAGCTGATTTGTTGCTAATTTATTCAAGACTGAGGCATTTTCTCTGCCTTGAAGGATCTTAGGGAACAAGCAGAGAGATAAGGGACTGTTTTTGCACCTTTGCTTAGTTTTAAAACTTCTCAGTATTTCCCTTATCAGTTCCAGTTGTTGGATGGAGGACTCGCCCATAGTCA